ACAGTTAGGAGAATAGTTGGCAGCAATTTTGGAATCTTAGAGCAACAAGAATAAGGAACAAAGTACAGATCAAAACATTAATCTTGCAGTTAGTGTTTTAGAATCTCATTTGGATATCATTTAAGCTTAGCAAAAAGCAGTTCAGACTAGTCACAGATTAGATAATAAATGTAAGTTTGAAACAAAGCAATTACAGTTCTAAAGCTAGTAAATCTGCAATAGTTAAGTCAACAGGAACACCTGGGTAATATCTTCCTTGTATCCAACAGACATAAAGGAAAAGTTATTCAATTCACCATTGCAAGAAAATGTTTCCTTTCATAATGAGGGGAAGAATTAAGGATAATAAAGCAAATGTAGCTATTAGATCTTAATTTAAAACCTGTGTACTTTCTAATCATGTCATTTAAGTACACTATTTTCACTTAGCATAGTTAAGAGCCATAGGGGATAATGTGCCACAACCCACTAGCTGTTCTAGCTCTGTCTGATTGATGGTGGCGCAGTAGGCAGAGGGGTCTGTAAGGAACAAGAGGCAAGAGCAGAAGTAGAATGCAGAGGCAGAAGGCAAAACAAACAATGCAAGTGTTTCACTACCTCTCAGAACTCAATGTTCTGCATTGTTGACAGTTAAATGACTAGATACTGGCAATATAGTCCAAGACAGGATTATATGGGCATAATTCTTAAGAACTCTTGAAAAAGACACTTCTTAGAAAAGGATGCTATGTGTTTATTATGAACAAATAGATAAAGATGATCTTTAAACTTTCACTTTAATTATTCTCCACTTTTTGGAAATCATCTTAAGAGAATGCATAGCCATATTGCAAACATGTTAGATTGTATCAGCATGGCACACAGCAAATAGCTCCAGCAAGGAAATAATTTTAAAAAGTGTCCTAAGGTATTCAGAAAAGCATTATGGTCTTGATCTCCCAAACTCTACAAGAATGAACTACCAAGTTAGGTAGCTGCCAGCTGCAAGAGAAATAGCATCTCTTATCCTTCCAACGAGTGGAAGCAAACAGGGCTCAGAAAAAATTACTACCACTTGTTTTGAGTTACTGTTGTATATCATAGAGAAGAAGTGAAAAACTTCAGAACTTTGTTTTCTGCATGCTCATCATGACCTGTGCAGCCAGAGACTGATTTCCTACCAGGAACAAACAGAAGGCTTCCTCAAGTTAAGTACCAGTAATGGCACTTACTGCCATTTCTTTCAGCACAAGATGAAAGAGCATCAATTGACAAGCAGTCTTGCTCTGTCATATTGATCTCGATGGAACAAATAGGCATAGAAAGCCAAATCTGTTAACATGGCCATTCCTCTATGCAGCTCTAAACAAATCAGAGCTTTTATTCAGTGTTCTTTGAAAGGAAGAGAGCTTCTGCCTACAACAACCATCATTAAAATACATTGCAAATGTAAAATAAATACATGGGAAGAGGAAAAATGTGAAGCACAAAAGTTCTGTTTCAGTTGCTTACACTAAATAAATGGAATTTAAAAACATTTTAAAATTGTAAAATAGTTACATTTGTTTGGAACTAAATTTCAAACAATTATTCTGTTACAGCAAAAATAATGTATTCAGTCACTCTTGAAATATCTTGCTAAGTAGTGCTTAATGAGTCTGTTAATATCTGCTGCACTATTGGACAGCATAATAAACAAAATGCCCTAAACATTACTCAGTGAACCATCATAAGCAGCCACAGTATTTATATTCCTGCCACCTTACGGCTGTGGCCATAAGGCATATATCCAAAACAATCTCAGTACAGTATATAAATTGAAGATATTACAGTATATAAATGAAGTATATAGATTGAAGATTTATAGGGAGTAACAAGAAAGATTTAAGTTTTAGTGATTCAGCAGATTTTCTTCCTTTTGAGACTATACTGGGGGTAAGGGGACAAAATAAAACACCCTCCAATGCAGGATGACACGGGTCGTGTTGCTTTCTAATGTGTTCTGCCTAAAGTAATGTCTGTCTTGCAGAATATTCACTGTACTGTCAGCCAAGCTAGTTACAGATTAAGATGCAAGAAAGGCAAGAGACAAACCCAAGGAGATCAGGGTGTACCGAGGTGTGTGCACACAGAGGGGGCTCTCAGTATTTTAACAATGCCATTGAAGGGCACAATTTACTTAAGCCCCTTTCCCAAAACACTTATTTTCTAGGCTATACCTTAAAGAGAAAAAGAGATAGAACAGAACAAGTACTTGTGGCAAAATTGTAATCTTTAAGAGATTACAAACATTTGAGTAGGGTGGGCATTCTCCCTAGAATAAAAAAACAAAACAAAAAAGCACACAGAAACACATACACCCCCCTCTACCCACAGAGGTGAGAAAAACTGTATCCCTGTATCCAGAGGTCTCTATCCTGACCATTGCCAATGGCTCCGTTAAAAAAAAAAAAAAAAAAAAAAAAAAAAAAAAAAGAGAGAGACAATATTCACCTACTAGCTCACCTAGTTACATTCACCTAGTTAGTAGGTAGTCAGCAAGATACTCTGCCTTGTAGTCAGACATTTGTTTATTATATTGATTCTACACGCACAATCATTACACTTCCTGCAAATACAGGAGGCCAATATAGGTTTTGCTTAAGTTTAAGCAGCCAGGGCAGGAGAAGGAGGAGTTGAAGACAGGAGCAGCATTAGCCGCATTCATAATCCATTTTGCCATGGAAACTGCCGCACTGTGGAGCCCCAACCTGCTCAGAGCGCCGGTTGCTAAGGGAAGGCAAGTCGAAGGAGACAGCTGCTGGAAGGCTATCAGAGCAATTCCTAATGGTAGTGATAGGAGGGTGATTAGCTCCCACATCCTCTTCCCTCATTACCATTAAATCATGGCTTACTATTAACATGTTGTTCTTGCCTGGTAAGCGACTACTGTAATTTTCTTACCTAAAATCTGAGATGCTAGTTTAAAATGCATAAAAATAGTAAAAGCCACAGACTCTGTGCTTAAATAACACCCCTCAGTTCAATAGCTTGTGCCACTTTGTTTACCTACCAAAATATGTCCTTGAAAAAATAAGTATACACACTTAGCATGCGACAGCTGCCAAGTCAGGGGAAGTGTTTCCCCACTAGAACTGTCATGGAGTTGACAACAGTAAGCATATTGGGAAATGTGCAGTGAAGAACCAAAGCAGAACTTAGGTTATCACATCCCAGATCTCCTCACCTGATAGTTAGCCCCTGGACAGCCTTCCTTTACTTACCTTAAAGTTCCCAACTATCCAGAACCATACTGTTAGTGCTGCCAGCAGCTCCTGCAATCCTGAACAGCACTGCAGTTCATTTAATCTTGGTAAAAGCTCAGAAATAGGTTCTTCTCCCTCTAATGGCCCTTTCTTTGAGACTGTTGGGACATTCCTATGGATCAAGTTCCTCAAATTATGCAGCTCCTTTTAATTTAAAAAGGGGAAAGCAGATAGCTTTCACCTCTTTCCTAATGCTAACCACTTAAAAGATCTTACCTAAGATGAGGTAGAACTAGGTTTCAAGCAGGTTTCTAGTAGGAGCCTCTCTTTTGTTGAGCACATACTGTTGCATGGTAATTATATGCAAGTTTCTGAAGGTTACCCAACTTGGCTGCAATGTATACAAATGCTTAAAAATAAGGTTCCTTAGGTAGGAAGCAGTGTAATTTTTTCCCATAAGGAACACTGCAAACCACACCAAAACCAAGTGACCAACTAAAATTAACATATCTTGGTTAAGTGGGTCATAGAAGGTCTTCTTTTATGAAGCGCTGACGTTAGTGTGATAATATCTAAACTTAAGATAATAAGCAAGCATTAAATAAAGTCATATTTTCTCAGTTGTCATTCCTCTTGAACCCAGATTGTAATTATCATTCACTTACATAGAGTTATGGAAATACACAGCATTAGACAACTACTTAAGGTAAGGGATAGAATAAGGGTAATACTAAATCATATATGAGTTATTTCAGCAATGGATTCACATATAAGAAGGAAATAACTAAACTCTGGGAAAAATATACAACAATATCTAACAAAGAACAATAATAGAAAAAAGATTACTGGTAAGAAATTCTTAAAGGTCAAATGCATATGTATTTCTGTCCTTCAGTGTTGCAAACTTGCAACACTTACTGTGCACAGAGAAAGTGGGAGCTGAGGAAGGAATTCAGTTTTACTGTGCTGCCAGTCTGTTCTTTACTAAAGTACAGCAGTTCGGAGGGCAAGAACTGAACTCTCAAGAAGGTACAGAAAGTGTGCTGGAGCAAAGTGAAAGGTGGTGCATTGCTGGAGGAGGATTGGGACTGCTCAGGCAGATATAGTCATTTGGACACAGCAGGGAGTTCGGAGAAAGTGGAGCTTGTGTGGCACTTGGATTACAAGTGCAGCCTCACACCTCTGGAATGAGCCAAGTGTATTCCATAACTAACACCCTTACCCAGTTGCTGCACCAGTTTTCTCCTTTCCAGTTTGGAAATGCCAAATGGAAGAAAACCATCCACATCCTGGGAAGTTAGGTGGGGAAAGGGGGAGTCATTGCTGTTGCTTTAGAAAGTTGTGCAGATCAGGGAGATCAGTGTATGCACACCATAAACAAGATGAGAAGAAGAATCATTAAAATGGCAGTTTAACATGAGCTGAGTTAAAGTGACAAGAAAAGTTAACGTAAAAATTGAGGAAATCTTGATAGAGATACAGATGCTAGAATAACCTTCCAACAAAAATATCAAAAACAAGATGCTTCTGGCTTCATGATACAGAGTGTTCAAGTGCTATGAACATAATTCTACATGAAAAGGGGATGAACTAGATGAAGTCCAGCAAAAACCAATCTACCATTACTCATTCAAATCCCTGTGAGCTTTTGGCTAGACACTCTGCGAGTCTCATTTTATG